GTAGCTCCTTGGGGTTTGGATTTGCATTTCCCTAATGATTAATGATGCTGAGCATCTTTTCATGTGCTTATTGGCCATTGTGTATCTTCGTTGGAGAAATGTCTATTTAAATGCTTTGTCCATTTTTAAAAAATGGGTTCTCTTTTTCATTATTGAGTTGTAAGAGTTCTTTAAATATCCTGGATAACAGACCCTTATGATTTAAAAATAATTTCTCCCATTCTTTGGGTTTTCTTTGCACTTGTTATCATTGCAGCACAAGTTTTAAATTGTGATGAAGTCCAATTAACGTTTTTCTTTTATAGCTCTGCTTTTGATGTTGTATCTAAAAAAACACGCCGAACCAAGGTTATAAAGATTTACCTCTCTCTTTCTTCTAAGACTTTTAGCTCTTACATTTAGGTCTATGATCCACTTGGAATTTGTGTGAATTGTGTGGCAAAGGGGTTCACTTCATGTGGATATCCAGTTGTCCTAGGCCTGTTTGTTGAAGAGACTATTTTTCCTTCATTTTATTGTCTTAGCACTCTTGGTGAAAATCAATTGACCATAAATGTAAGGGTTTATTTCTGGGCTCTCAATTCTATTCCACTGATCCATGTTGAACCTTATACCAGTACTACAGTTTTGGTTATTATAGTTTTCTAACTCAGGAACTGTAAGTCCAACTTTGTCCTTCTTTTATAAGATTGTTTTGGTTATTCCTGGTTTTAGAATCAGCTGTCAATTTCTGTGAAAAGCCAGAGGGATTCTGATAGGGATGTACTGACTCTGTAGATTGATTTGGGGACTATTGTAGCTGAATAATAATGTGAAGTCTCCTGATCCACACATGGGCTATGTCTCTATTTATTTATTTATTATCACCATTTATTTAGATCTTTAATTGCAACAATGTTTTATAGTTTTCAGTCTTGTATTTCTTTTGTTAAATTTATTTATATTTCATTCATTTTTTAAAATATGTATTTTTTTATTTTTAGAAAACATGGATGCGAGAGTGACACATCAGCTGCCTCCTGCACACCCCCTACTGGGGATCAAACCTGGGCGTGGGCCCTGACTGGAATGGAACCACTGACCTCTTGGTTCACAGGTCACCACTCAACCTCTAAGTCACACCGGCTGGGCTTAATTTTGTTTCTGTACTGTTCATTGCTAGTATATAGAAATAGAATTTATTTATTTTTGTTAATCCTCACCCGAGGATATTTTTTACCACTGATTTTTAGAGAGTGGAAGGGAGGGGGGGAGAGAGAGAGAAACATCTATGTGAGAGATACATGGAATGGTTGCCTCCTGCACACTCCCAGACCAGAGCCTGGTATCAAGCCTGCAACTGTGGTTCGTGCCCTTGATCGGAATCAAACCTGAGACTCTTCACTCCAAGGGCTGATGCTCTGTGTACTAGGCAAAACCAACTAGGGGGAAATGAAATTTATTTTTACTTTGATCTTGTATACTGCAACTTTGCACAACTCACTTATTAGCTCTAATAGCTTTCTATTGGATTCCTTAGGATTTTCTATATACAATATCATGTCTTCTGAAAATAGAAACAGATTTACTTCTTTCTTTCTAATCTGAATGTCTTTTATTTCCTTTTCCTGCCCAAGTGCCCTTGCTGGAACCTTCAGTACAATGTTGAATAGAAGTGGCAAGAGCCGCTTCCATGTGCTTCTCTTGATTTTAAGGGAAAAGCATCCAGTCTTTCATCAATGTGAGCTGTGGGTTTTTCATAGACGTCCTTTATCAGGTTGAGGAAATATTGAGTGTTATTATCAGAAAGGGTATTGGATTTTGTCAAATGCTTTTTGTTGCATCTATTAAAATAATCGTGTGACTTTTGTCTTTTATACATTAACTGATTTTCAGATTTTAAATTAACCTTGCATTTCTGGGATAAATTCCACATATAATCCTTTTTATGTGTTACTAAAATTTGGTTTGTTAGTATTCTGTTGAAGATTTTTGTGTCCATATTCATAAGAAATACTGGTCTGTAGTTTTCTTTTCGTGCTTGTTTGGTTTGGTATCAGGCAATGCTGGCCCCATAAAATGAACTGGGAAGTATTAGATCATCCTCAGCATTAAAATTTCTCTAGCATCTCCCATCTTGACATGAAGTCTCCCTCCAGCCTGTTTCACATCTCTGCTCCCTTTACAAAAAAGTTTTATCCTGAGAGGTGTCTACATACTATACTCCACTTATTCCAACCTGGCCGCTGCCCCCACCACTCCACTAACCCCACCCTTGATGGTTTATACTTACCAAAGCCAGTGATGACTTCTCAGAGGCATGTGGCACTGGTGAGACCCTCCTCCCACCTGCTTGACACTATTGATTTTCTTCCGAGCACCCAGGCCTGTTTCTCACTTAGTCAGCAAGACCCACTTCCTTCTCTAAAGTTTGCAATGTCTGAAAACGTGACTGGGCAGACAAATCACTGGGATCTTGTTAAAAGGCAGATTCTGAATCAACAGCTCTGGGGGGGAGCCAGACTCCGGCTGCTTATCTAACAAGCTTCCCCAGAGAGCCTGGTGCTGCCGGTCTGGAGACCACACTTTGAGTAACCGGGCTGCAGAATCCCACATTCCGGATTTGTCTGTCTACTACCCTGAGGTGTCATTCAGCTTGCTCCTCTCCTCGTCTTTGTATTCCTGTAGGCAGCTCTAATGGTTCCCAAACTTTGTTCACGTTAGAGTCATCTAGGAAGCTTTTAAAAATCCCCATGCCCAGATATATTAAATCAGAATACCTAGAGGCAGGGCCTAGGCACCAGCATTTTAGCACACTCCAATGACTCTCACACGCAGCTAAGATTAAGACCCTAATTTATTATTTTATTTTATTAAATATATTTTTATTGATTTCAGAGAGGAAGGGAAAGGGAGAGAGAGAGAGATAGAAACATCAATGATGAGAGAGAATCATTGATCGGTTGCCTCCTGCAAGCCCCACACTGGGGATCGAGCCCACAATCCGGGCACATGCCCTTGACCAGAATTGAACCCAGGACCCTTCAGGCTGACGCTCTATCCACTGAGCTAAACCAGCTAGGGCAAGACCCCAATATACACGTTGGCCACTCAAAGTGTGTTTCAGGGATCAGCTGCATTGGTATCATCATCTGGGAGTTTACTAGAAATGCAGAATCTCAGCCCTAACCCAGACCTACTGAATCAGAGTCTGCATTTAACCAGTGTCCAGGTTTCTTTGTGTGTTAAATTCTGAGAAATGATGATCTACGTGCTGATGGATCCAAATGTTTATCGCCTAAGCTCCAGCTTTCATACCTAACTGCCACTCTGGCATATACCCAGCTGTCTCAAACTTAATTTGCGCCAAGCTGATATCCCTGCTTAAACTTGTTTCCTCCCCATTCCTGGCCAATGACACCACCAATTCCTAGTCATTCAGGCCTAAAACCTAGGAGTCATTGCTGAATCCACTGTACCCTTCATGCCCCCATTTAATCCATTAGGTAATTCTGGTGACTACTTCCACACCGACCCCAAGTGCATACATTTCCCTCCATCTGCAGGCCAGCACCCCCACGACCTCTCTCCCAGCCTCCCATGTCTTCCCTTATGCGCCCCCAGTCAGTTCTCCCCACCTTGACCATAGGGAGCTTTAAAAAATGTGAACTAGCCTGGCCAGGGTAGCTCAGTGGCCTAGTATCGACCTGTGAACCAGGAGGTCACAGTTCGATTCCCGGTCAGGGCACACGCGGGGGTTGTGGCCTCGATCCCCAGTGTGGGACGAGCAGGAGGCAGCTGATCAATGATTCTCTCTCATCATTGATGTTTCTATATCTTTCTCTCCCTTCCTCTCTAAAATCAATAAAATTATTAAAAAAATAAAAAGTAAATAAAATAAAACGTGAACTGAATTCAGTGTTCTCTGCCTAAAATTAATGATACATCACACGTAAGATAAAATCTGCCAGGGACCACTCCTCCAAACTCAACTCTTACAACCCCAGCTACACTGTTTCTTAAACAAGGTAAATGTATCCTGGTCTCAGAACCTTCGCGCTTGCTTTTCCTTCTGTTTGGACATTTCTTCCCCCAGGTCAGGCCACAGCTCGCTGCGGTCATTCAGGCCTATGTTCTAAGGAAAGAAAGGCCTGTCCTGACAGCAGCCTCACTCCCTGTTCGAAGCCCCCGCACCCCGATGAATGCATTTTTAGCAACTACTGGCATCGGAAACCACCCTGCTCCCCAGGAGATGGAGGATTTGTCCTGCCTTCCTCACTGCTGCGGCTCCAGCACCGGGGACAACACCTGGTCTACGGCAGGTGCCTAACAAGGCCACCGGAACGGACAGAACCAAGTTTCCACAAACTCTAACCTGTAAACCTGAAGCCCGCGGCGGGGTGTACCTACAGCAGCTCTGCGGCGGGCCGCCGGGAGCCGGGGGTCGCTGGGAGACACAGGCGCACGCGGGCTCGAGTTCCGGCCGAGCGGCCCCCCTGCGGCGTGCGCGCTGGAGACAGCCTCACCCTCTCGGAGCCTCGGCTGTCTCATCTGCAAAACGGAAAATTCAAGACCTGAGCAGGCAGCGCACGGAGAGCAAGCGGCCTTCCCCGGCGCGTCTCCGCCCGCCCCGCCTCGCAGAGGTCACGGTGCCCTGGCCCAGCCGCCGGGTCCCGCTGGCGCCGCCCTCCCGCGCCGCCGGCCCAGAACGGGCCGCTCCGGAGCCCCGCAGCTCGCGCTCGCCTCCCCACCCACAACCTACCTACGAACGCGGGCGGCCGCCGACTCTGAGCCACGGCCATCTGGCCGCTGGGCGCCGCCATGTTGCCCAGAGGGCTTCCGGGTCACGGGCCGCCAGGAAGACAGCCAATCAAGAACGCGGGTTTAGGGAGGTCCCGCCCCAAAGGGAGGAGCACCAATAGGAAGGGAGGACGGCATGGGCGCTGCCTCATAATGAGCCAGCCCCTCGTCCCGTATAAGGCAAACCGCATCCCGGGCCTGGGGGTTGGGAATGGCCCGGGGCGGAGCGACGGGGTCGTTCCTGGGCGGGGAGCCTGTTGATCCAGGTGGGAATGAAATAGTAAAGGTGGACGTCCTCCCAGTGTGAGAAATGCAGCGTCCGGGTCCCTGGATTCGTACCTTTCCCTTCTGCGCGGCAGGTTCATGATCCCGGGATCATTCCTTTGCCTCCGGGCATGGCGACAGCAGAGAGGGTGCAGCTGGCATCCACCCCGACGGCTGCAGGAGCTGGGCAGTCGGACAGAGGAGGTACCTGGGGCGGGGACATGGCTACAGAGCAATGACGCTCCCTGCTGGTCCCCGTGGTGCCCCCTCCCGCGGTTCTGCCTCCTGACTTCGTCTTGTGCCCGCTTCTGGCGCTCATCCAGCGCGCGCTCCACAGCCTCGAGCCGGCCTCGGGGCGCCTTGCACTCACGCCTAGGCTTCCAGGTAGTGCGGGGGCGGGGTAGCCCCTCTGCCCTCATTCAGACCCCTCCTCCCTCTCCTGGTGCCTGTCCATCCTCCTCTCGCTGGCCATCAGCGCCCTCGGGCGGTACCACCTGCCCTCGGTGGAGACTAAACATCAGCCTCACTCCGTGAGTCAGCTGGGCCCAGGTGGCTATTCTCCACTTCACTCTCACCCTCCTCTGAGCTCCTGTGGGGGCGGGGACGGAGCCGGTAACATGGGGAAGCGGGTGGACACTGCTGAAGGACTTCAGGTGAGTAAGGAGCCCCTCCAGGAAGACTCTCTGAGTAAGGATGGCACAGCTACGGAGCCTCCTGGGCCAGCCTGCTTTCTCTCCTCACCCCAGCCCCGGGCAGAAGGTGACCCAGGGCCTTGACCCCTCCATGCCAGGCCCCCAGCTACCCTGTACAGGGAGGTCCAGAGTGTGGGGGTGGTCAGTGGGCTCCATGCTCCCTTTGACCCACAGACTGTGGCTGATGCCTCTGGTAACCTGCTCCATGGTAGATGGGGTCCAGCTGGGTGGGCCCTGGGTCACATTCACTCAACCCCCTGCCCACCTCCCTCCGCACCTGGTGACATCATTTGTTCCTGGGTTAACATACAGTTTCTCTTTAGCTTTCATCACCTCCCTCAGGTCCCTGGGACGCTACCTCTCTCCCCCTCCCCACCATTGAACATCTCCTGTGCGCTGTTAATATTAGCTCCATGAGGAGAGGAAGATTTTGTTTGTTGTATATATTGTCCCTAGCATTGGGGACTGGGCCTGGTAGGTGCTCAATAGATGTTAGTTACAAAATGAATGAATGAATGTATGAATGAATGAATGTTCCTGATGCTCATCCCAATATTTAAACCCTAGAAACTGTCCCTTGTGACGGCCTCATGTGACTGCCTTCCACACACCTGACTACTTACCCTACCTTTGCCCGCCCCCAATCTTTCCCCAGCCCCAGGGTAGGCTGCACTGCTACCTGAAGACCTCTATGCCAGTTTGTGTCTGCTCTCAGCCCTTTGCCAATTTTGGGTGCTTGGGTCTGGAGACATGTGAGCGTCTTCCTGCAATTCTCCTTTTCCTCCCTCACCCTGACTCCCACTCTCCTCTCCAAAACTGGTTGTTGAGTAAGCAAGCTGCCCCTGAAACTTGTTAGTGGCCTTCCTGAGTGGTGTGCCCATGGTTGTTGTACAGCTGGCATCACTGTGACGCTGTTTTAAAGCTTGAGGGGTTTTGGCTTTGGCTCTGCTGGACCTGGACATCCTCAACATTCTATGGGTGTACCGTGTCACGCTGTCCAGGGCGTGAGGTGGGGGAGCCCTCACGCCCCAGAGCCGGTGGGAAGGGATTGAAGAGATGTGGAAGAGCTCCCCTAAACCCTGCTGCAGACTTGGACTCAGGCCCAAAGTGGTGGAGGTTGTGCAGAGGAGCCTGAGGCTGTGCCCATCCCACAGCCAAAAGGCTCATATTCACTCAACAAGCATTTTAAAAAAAATTTTTCTTATTGGTTTTAGAGAGGAAGGAAAAGGAAGAGAGAGATAGAAACATCTATGATGAGAGAGAATCATTGATTGGCTGCCTCCTGCACACCCCCCACTGGGGATCGAGCCTGCAAGCTGGGCATGTGCCTGGGACCCTTCAGTCCGCAGGCCGACGCTCTATCCACTGAGCAAAAGCAGCCAGGGCTCAGCAAGCATTTATTGAGTGCTTCCTTTGCACCAGTCACTGTTCTAACCCTGGAGAAACAGCAGGGAGCAGAAAAAGATTCCTGACCTTGGGTAGCTTGCATTCTAGTGGGGCAGACAAAGACCCAAGTTCAATAGAAATATTTTACAACTATTTGTAGCTTATAAAAACTTAAGTGCAACGGTAAAACTGTTTGTCATCTTGTTAACCTTAATCTACGTTTGAACATTGAACATATTACTTTCTGTAATTAATAACATTTTTTAGTCCCTTTTGTGTAGAGCTTGATTCTCTGTGTTCTGTGTATTAATTTAGGGATTTTATTTATGTCTTCTGTCATCCTGCCTTCTCAAACAAAACATCAAAATACATTCATTAATTCAACAAATATTTATACATATTTTAAAACAAATACGGGTTTTATGCTAGATCCAAATGGAAGTATAAAATTAACTTGAAACAGGAAAATAAATTTAAGTTCTTCAAGTGCTTAGAATTTGTTTTCAAATTCATGAAGTGAACATGTAAAATGTGACCAGCTGGTGTAGCTCAGTGGTCGAGCTTTGACCTATGAACCAGGAGGTCACAGTTCAGTTCCAGGTCAGGGCACATACCCTGGTTGTGGGCTCCATCCCCTGTCAGGATATGCAGGAAGCAGCTGATCAATGATTCTCATCAATAATGTTTCTATCTCTTCCTCTCCGTTCCTCTCAGTAAAAATATATTCAAAAAGAAATGTAAAATGCTACATGTGATTAACAAGATGGTTGATATTAATAGAATAGGCGTTTTTAAAAAGTAAATGTTTTATAGCTTGAGCTGTGTGGCAATTACATATGCATGTATATGTAAAAATTCATTGAGCTATCTATTAATAGTTGTGCATTTTACTTTAATATCTCAACTTAAAAGTTTTAAAAAGTGATAATTGATTCACTGATCTGTAATTTGTATACTTTTCTGTATGCATGATATACTTTAAAAGCCTGTTTAAATACTTCACACCCATTAGAATGGCGATTATAAAAAACAAACAGAACCTAACAAGTGCTAATGAGGGTGTGAAGAAAGTGGAACTCTTGTATACTGTTGGTGAAAATGTAAAATGGTGCAGCCACCATGTAAAACAGTATAGTGGCTTCTCAAAAAAATAAAAATAGAAATAGAAATAGAGCTACCATATGATTCAGCAATTCCATTTCCGGGTATTTACCCAGAAAAACTGAAAGCAGGGACTCAATCAGATAGTTACCCACCATATTCACAGCAGCGTGATTCACAATTGTGAAAGCAACTCAAGTGTCCATTGACAGATGAACTAATACACAACATGTGGTATGTACATACAATGGAATGTTATTCAGCCTTAGAAAGGAAGGAAATTCTATCATTTTGTGAATAAGCCAATCACAGAAGGACAAATACTGTATGGATTATACTTACATGAGGACCCTAGAGTAGTCACATTATCAGACAAACAAAATTGAATGGTGGGTGCCAGGGACTGAGGGAGAGGGGATGGGGAATTAGTGTTTAATAGTGACAGTTTTGGCCTTAAAGGATGAAAAAAGTCCTGGAGGTGGATGGTGGTATACAACAACATAATTGTACTTCATACCACAAATAAATATTTTATTTACTAGAGGCCCGGTGCACGAAATTCGTGCACTGGGGGAGGTTCCTCAGCCCGGCCTGCACCCTCTTGCAGTCCGTGACCCCTCAGGGGATGTCTGACTACTGGCTTAGGTACCCCTCAGGGATTGGGCCTAAGCTGGCAGTCAGGCATTCCTCTCACAGTCCAGGACCCCTCGGGGGATGTAGCAGTGAGCCAAGCAGCAGGCAGTCAGGGAGGAGCCTGAATTTGAGGCCGGGTGCTGTGCCACTCACGCTCATCCGGCCCGTTGTGCCTGCTGCTGCCACACAGTAGGGCTGCTGTGGCATCGGGAAAGGCTCCCGACACCATGGCAGCTGCGCTCACCAGCCGTGAGCCTGGCTTCTGGCTAAGCAGCACTCCCCTGTGGGAGTGCACTGACCACCAGGGGGCAGCTCCTGCGTTGAGCGTCTGCCCCCTGGTGGTTAGTGCGCATCATGGTAACTGGTCATTCCAGTTGTTTTGCCATAATGGTTGCTTAGGCTTTTATATATATAGATAGATTTTTGAGTAGTTTCTTTTTCTTTAAAAATATATTTTTATTGATTTCAGAGAGGAAGGGGAAGGGAGAGAGAGATAGAAACATCAATGAAGAGAGACATCAATGAAGAGAGAGAATCATTGATTGGCTGCCTCCTGCACACCCTACACTGGGGATTGAACCTGCAACCCAGGCATGTGCCCTTGACTGGAATCAAACCTGGGACCCTTCAGTCTGCGGCTGATGCTCTATCCACTGAGCCATGCTGGTCGGGCACAAACCTATACATTTAAAATGGTAAATTTTATGTTATATATTTTACTACAATTTTTTCAGTCTCCTAAAAAAAGATAAGGTTAGATTGGAGGGGGGCTCCTGAGCTCCCCAAATAAGCTGTTAATAACCTGAGTGGGTTATTGCATACAATGGGGCCTTGGAAATGGCTCCAGGCGAGGATGGTTATTTCCCCCATAAAGCCATTTCTGCAGTCCCTTGGCCTCCATGACGCAGGGTGCTGACAAGGAGACGCAGCCACCCTTGGGATGCTTCACAGACTCTGCAGCCACAGCAGATCTGTCCCATCAAGTTTCCTGTGATTGGCCGATCTGAGAAGCGCTGCAGCCAATCAGCTACTGGTCCAGGATGGCTTGCACACCCCCTTCCCAGCACGTTGATAGCCATTTGGGCAGCTGCTGGGGACACTACTGCCCTCTCCTGGGCACCCCTCACTAAGTTGCAGGCACAGTTAGCTCTGCTCAGCTGGGACGTGGGTGAGGGCACATGTGGGCAGTGATGGGGCAGCTGATCTGAAAACCTGGCTTCAGAGCTTCCAGTGCCCATTTCCCTCTTGAGGCAGTTACAGCTCTTTGTTTTCTTTTCCTTTTTAAATATGTTTTTATTGATTTCATAGAGGAAGGGAGCGAGAGAGAGAGAGAAACATCAGTGATGAGACAGAATCACCCATCGGCCGCCTCCCGCACGCCCCACACGGGAAACCCACAACCTGGGCACATGCCCTGACCTGGAATTGAACAGGGACCTCCCAGTTCATAGGTCAACGTTCAACCACAGAGCCATGTTATTTACTTTGCAGAAGTACAAACACAAGCATTTACATATTTTTTTGTATTTATTAACACAGAGCACAATGGTATGTGTAAACTATGCAGACTCTTTAACACGCAGTCCTCAAAACAACCCTACGGAAAACAGCAGCTTCACTGTGGAGGAGCCTGGCAGACACCACCTATCAAAGGGACCGAGGTTAACATCACCAGCGATGAGTCATAGTAACATCATAACCCCACCACCCTCCCCCCGCACGAGAACATCACCTCTCTGGTATCCTGGGATCCTTCCCAGTCATACCAAAACCTCAACCTAATCAAGACAAACCAAATTGAGAGACAATGTACACCATTACTGACCAGTACTTTACAGAAGTGTCAAGGTTATGAGAGATTGGGGGACTGTCACAGACTGGAGGAGTCTAAGGAGACATGAGTAAATGTGATGAGGGACCTTGGATTGCATCCTGGAACAGAAAGAGAACATGAATAGGAAAACAAGAAATCTGAATCAAGTCTGTAGTTTATTTACTTTTTATTTTATTTTATTTAGTATATTTGTATTGATTTCAGAGAGGAAGGGAGAAGGAGAAAGAGAAACATCAATGAGAGAGAATCACTGACCGGCTGCCTCCTGCACACCCCCTACTGGGGATGAAGCTCACAAGGTGGGCATATGCCCTTGACCAGAATCGAACCCGGGACCCACAGTCAGCAGGCCGCCACTCTAGCCACTGGGCCAAACCAGCTAGGGCAAGTCTGTAGTTTATTAATAGTATCGTGCCAAGGTTAATTTCTTAGTTTTAATAAATTTACTATGGTTATGTAAGATGTTAACAGTAGGGGTAACTGGGTGAGGGTGTATTAGAACTCTTTATGCTATTTTGCAGCTTTTCTGTAAGACATAAAAACATTTTTTTTATTGATTTCAGAGAGGAAGGGAGAGAGAGAGACAGAAACATCAATGATGAGAGAGAATCATTGATCAGCTGCCCCCTGCACACCCCCTACTGGGGATCAAGCCTGCAACCAGGGCATATCCCCTGACCAGGAATTGAGCCATGACCTCCTGGTTCATAGGTCAATGTTCAACCACTGAGCCGTGCTGGCTGGGTGTGTAAGTCTTATCTCAAAATAAAAAATAATAATATAATAAATAAATAAAACTATGAAGCAGGTACTATTAATATGCCCATTTTCCAGAGGAGAAAATTAGGCACAGAGAGGTTAAGCCACCTGTACAGGGTCACACAGCCAGGAAGCACCAGGGTATGTCTCAAACCCATGGAATATGGATCCAGAGCCCCTACCCTTAACCACAGCACCACAGTGCCTTTATTTAAACAAAACACTGCGTATTCTGCCTTCATCTTTGTCTATCTCACTTGTTCCTTGACAGAGCTATAGGGTGACTTGTTATTAAAAAGGCCACTGAAATCAGTGTTCTTGCACCTAGCTCATTCTTCATCCCTACACTTTACTTCTAAGGACTATTCTAAAAAAAAAAAAAAAAAAAAGCTGGTTCAGAAAGTGTACTAAATAGACAGGGTTCTCCAGAGAAATGGGACTAAATATGTATATAAATATATAACCTGGGACCCTTGGCATGATACTATTAATAAACTACAGACTTGCCCTAGCTGATTTGGCTCAGTGGCTAGAGCATCGGCTTGCTGACTGAAGGGTCCCAGGTTCTATACACACACACACACACACACACACACACACACTAGTATACATACACACACATACGTGTGTGTGTATATATATATGTATATATATATATCATAGGGCAAAAGTAGGTTTACAGCTGTGAGTATGAGAAAGTTTATTCTTGTAATATTACTTATGAGTTACCATATTTTCCATATGAACAACTGTAAACTTACTTTTGCCCTATCCTGTATATATGATCCTATATAATAAAAGGCTAATATGCAAATTGATGCTATGACGCACACTGACCACCAGAGGGCAGGTGCTCAACGCAGGAGCTGCCTCCTGGTGGTCAGTGCGTTTTCACAGGGGGAGCACCACTCAGCCAGAAGCTGGGCTCATGGCTGGCAAGTGCAGTGGTGGCCGGAGCCTCTCCCACCTCCATGGCAGCGCTAAGGATGTCCAACTGCGGGCTTAGTCAGACGTCCCCTGAGGGCTCCTGGACTGTGAGAGGGTGCAGGCCAGGCTGAGGGACACCCCCCCCCAAGTGCACAAATTTTGTGCACTAGGCCTCTAGTTTATATAGAATATAGAATATATATGATTTGTTATATATGATTATAACAAAATATATTTATTATAACAATGATTTATTCTAAGGAATTGAGTCACCTGATTGTGGAGGCTGAGAAGTCCAAGATCTGCAGTTGACAAGCTAAAGACCTAGGAGAGCCAATGGTATGAGCTCTAGCCTGGAAGCTGGCACAGGCTTGAGACCCAGGCGCTGACGTTTCAGCTCTGGTGGGAGGGCGGAGAAGACCAATGCCCCACTGAAGGCACTCAGGCAGGAGACATTCTTTCTCCCGGGGCTCAGTCGTTTTGTTCTATTCAAGCCTCCAACTTGAATGGGAAGAGGGGGGCATATTGAGGAGGGCAGCCTGCTTTCCTAAGTCTGCCAGTTTGAATGTTAATCTCATCCCAAAACACCCAGAATAATGTTTGACCAAATACCCGGACACCCTGTGTAGCCAGCCAAGTTGACTCATACATTAACCATCAGAAAAGATAAGGCTTTTTTTTTTCTCATCATTGATATTTCTATCTCTCTCTCCCTCTCCCTTCCTCTCTGAAAACAATAAAAGTATATATTTATATAAAAAATGAGTCCCGTAGGAGTTTTAATGAATTGATTAATAAACGAAGGAATATCTCGGGAGAAAAAAAAAAAAAAAAGAAAAGATAAGGATACTTGTCATTTTGCCCTCTCTCATCCACAATGTTCCCACAGCCTCCCAGGCACTGTGGTCAAGTATTCCGATTTTTGCCAGTCTTATCATCTACCCACTGTTTTTGAAAAAGTTCTCTTGATCTAGATGCTCTTCCTGCAAAACTTCTTGCAAAGGTCAAGGCTGGACCAGAGAATGGGCAGCTGTAGAATGGCCTGGAATAACTGAAGCCATAGCCTGTGAACCAACCTCCTCCCTGCCCTCCAATTGGTCTTCTCAGGAGGGTTAGAATGCAAACACAAAGATGACCCCACCTCAACTGTCCTACATCCAGGAGGTACTGGGAAATTGTGCCCGCCCTTGCCCGGCTGACGTGGCTCAGTGGTGGAGTGTCGACCTATGAACCAGGAGGTCAGGGTTCGATTCCGGGTCAGGACACATGCCTGGATTGCGGGCTCCATCCCAGTGTGGGGTGTGCAGGAGGCAGCTGATCAATGATTCTCTCATCACTGATGTTTCTCTCTCTCCTTCTCTGAAATCAATATAATAAATCTGTGCCAGTTCTTTGTGTGTAGTTAAGTAGCAACATTTCAGACAGACATGGGTTTGAGGGACCTGGCTCGCTCACTCTAATTCTATTTACACACTGAGCATTTTTTGAGCACCTGCTATGGACAGGCACTGTACCGGGCACTGGGGATAGAGCAGGGAACAAGCAGAGTCCCGCACCAAGGAGTTTCTTGCTGGATGAGATAATAAGCAAATAGGAGACGATAAGAAAAAGGAAGCAAGGAAAGGAACTAGAGGGGGGAGGTGCTTTAAGATCACTTGGTAAAATAAAAGTTTTTGTGGAGGTAGACATTTTAATCCAGGTGCAAACACTTAAAGTGAACAGCTCCCCTCCCCGGTGCCCGCCCACTCACAGTCGGTCTGGTGGCAGGGGATGCTGTTATTTTAGAGCAAGTGGTCAGGGAGGGCCTCTCGGACAAGGTGACGTTAGAGCAGAGGAAGCGAGGAAAGGCTTCTTGTGGACATGTGTCCAATGGAAGGGACTGCCAGTGCAAAGGTCCTGAGGTGGGAGCTCGCTTGGGCACTGAAGGGAGACATGCGGGAGGACGGGGAGCTGTAGGAGCATCGGACGGTGGGGTAGTGGGGATAGAGCAGTGAACAAGCAGAGCCCCACCCCATGGAGTTTCTGAACCTCCAGTTTCCTTATCTATAAATGGGGCCTAAGAGTTTCCACCCTCAGAGGGTGGTGGTGAGGATTAGAGGAGGTTGTGCCTGGCATGGAGTGAGCCCCCCAAAACAATAGCCATGATGGACAACAGCCTCTTCCTGTTTTCAGGAGGGAACGCTGGTGAGGAGGGGGCTGGCCAAGTGGGGCTGCCAGGATAGGCGGTTAAAGGGGGACAGGAGCTTTGGGTGGAATCTGGAGACAGGCGAGTGCAGAGGGTGTGAGTGTGTGAGTGTGCTGTGTGTGTGTGCTGTGTGTGTGCGTGTGAGTGTGCTGTGTGTGTGCGTGTGAGTGTGCTGTGTGTGTGTGTGTGTGTGTGTGGTGGTTGGGATGGTGTGTGTGTGTATGTGTGTGTGTTGAGTGCATGTGTGTGTGTGTGTGTGAGTGTGTGTGTGTGAGTGTGTGTGTGTGAGTGTGTGAGTGTGAGTGTGTGAGTGTGAGTGTGCTGTGAGTGTGTGTGTGTGTGCGTGTGAGTGTGCTGTGAGTGTGTGTGTGAGTGTGCGTGTGAGTGTGCTGTGAGTGTGTGTGTGTGTGTGGTGGTTGGGATGGTGTGTGTGTGTGTGTGTGTGTTGAGTGCATGTGTGTGTGTGTGTGTGAGTGTGTGTGTGTGAGTGTGTGAGTGTGAGTGTGTGTGTGTGTGGTGGTTGGGATGGTGTGTGTGTGTGTGTGTGTGTGTGTGTTGAGTGCATGTGTGTGTGTGTGTGAGTGTGTGTGTGTGAGTGTGTGAGTGTGAGTGTGTGTGTGTGTGGTGGTTGGGATGGTGTGTGTGTGTATGTGTGTGTGCTGAGTGCATGTGTGAGTGTGAGTGTGTGTGTGAGTGTGTGTGTGTGTGTGTGAGTGTGTGTGTGTGTGTGTGAGTGTGAGTGTGTGTGAATGTGTGTGTGTGTGTGGTGGTTGGGATGGTGTGTGTGTGTATGTGTGTGTGTTGAGTGCATGTGTGTGTGTGTGTGTGTGTGTGTGTGTGTGTGGGTGTGGTGGTTGGGATGGTGTGTGTGTGTATGTGTGTGTGCTGAGTGCATGTGTGTGTGTGAGTGTGAGTGTGTGTGTGTGAGTGTGTGTGTGTGTGAGTGTGAGTGTGTGTGTGTGAGTGTGAGTGTGTGTGTGTGTGTGTGTGTGTGAGTGTGTGTGGTGGTTGGGATGGTGTGTGTGTGTATGTGTGTGTGCTGAGTGCATGTGTGTGTGTGAGTGTGTGTGTGTGTGAGTGTGAGTGTGTGTGTGTGTGCGCTGAGGGTCGGAAGGTTTGTGGCTCCCTCGGGATGAGAAGTGCCAGGGCTTTGACCTGAATGAGCCCTTTGGGAAACCCTGTTCCTTACACGATCGCATCTTCTCATTCGATGGGAAACGGAGGCCCGAGGCCGGGGCGGGAAAGCTCCCGAGGAGCGGAGTGATGGGGGTCCCGAGGGGGGGGCTCGGCTCCCGTCTCTCTACTCCCACCGACCGGGCGGAGGCGTGGAGGGAGGGAGCGGAGACAGCGTGACCCAGAGGCACAGGGACGGAGAGAGGAGAGAGGACACGAGGACAGAGACAGAGGCAGGCGAACGCGCAGACCCCCGCGAGACAGGAAGGCTGGGCGGCGCGGACGGACGAGGAACGGCCTGGAGACAGAAAGGAAGACACAGAGACGCGGGCCGGGACCGGAGGGCAGGGCCGGCCCGGAAAGGCCGCCCGCGGGGACACCCGGGCTGCCCCGTCGGCTGCGCCGAGGGCCCCGCCCCGCCCCCGCCGCGCCTGGGCCGTGACCTCAGGGCCCGCGCCGAGGCTATAAATGGCCAGGCGGCCGCGCCGGCGGCGGGCGGTGAGTCAGCGCGCGTCACCGCCGCCGCGTCCCTGCCAGGCTCGCCCGCCCGTCCCGGCCGCCAGGGGGCGCCGGCCGCCAGCGCCGCGGGGCGCGGGTCCTCGCATGCGCAGTAGCGACCTGTGGCCGGCCGAGGGCCGCTCTGCGCCGGCGGGATCCCGGCGTGGCGTGTTCGAATCCTGGCTCTGCCACCTCGTGCTGGGTGCCCCGGGCCGTCGGCTTCTCTTCTCGGTGCCTCCTCTCGACCCCACTTCGTCAGGCTGTTGTGAGGAATGAGTTAACAGATCCAATGCACTTAGTACGTACCAGGAGTTAATTGTTAGTTCATTCATGTATGTTAGTGTACCTCCCACATGCCACGACTGGTCCCTAGTTGCCTTAGCCCAGCCGTTCTCAAACGGGGCAGATCTGTCCTCCCTCCCCCAGGATCATGTGTCCATGTCTGGAGACATTGCTATTTGTCAAGACTAAGGGAGTGTTACTGGTATCTGGTAGCAGAAACCCGGGATGCTGCCCAGGATGCGCCCCACCAGGAAGAATTATCCAGCCTGATGACAACAGTGCCCGCCGAGGTTGAGAAACCAGCCTTTGCCTCTTAGCATTAAGGGCAGGGACCTGGGTTCAAATCCTGCTCTGCCATTGGCAAGCTGTGTGACACTGGGGAAGTGATTCCACACTCCGTGCCTCAGTTTCCCCATCTTTAGATTGTGTATAATAACAATGCCCACTCTGAGGGTGTTGTGAGCATTGAGTTGACACATGTACAGTGTGTGCAACAGGGCCTGACATAAGGACTGTTGTCATATTAGTATATCACAGCTGTGCCTTTAGCATATGGCCAGCCAATGGGATGTCCTTAACATGGTACATTGCCGGCATGTCAGCCAGGTGTCACTAATCTGGCCTTGACATACGTGGCATGCTGTGGGCATGTCACCCTGTGGTCCAGGGGTGAGAGCTGGCTAGCTGGGGCTGCTTGCAGGAATTCCCTCCAGGTCATCGTGGTTGGGACAGGGATGTATGGGGATGTCCATGGCCAGAAACCTGCTAACACATTCAACCCAGATGGGGAGGGTGAGATCCAGGCTCTTGCTCCCCCCCAGGGTCTTATGAGTGGCTGCGGAGACAGAGGTGGGCTGCCAGATTCTCAGCAGAAAGGACTGCCATTCCTTGAGCTCTCCCCTGTGCCAGGCACTGCACTGGTCACGGCAGAGGCCTTGCTTCTGCTGATTCTCACAAGGCAGGCATTACCATTCGCCCATTTTACAGATGTGATAACAGAGGCTCAGAGAGAAGGGAGTTGTCTATAGTTAAGGGCTGTTGGTTTCTGGAGTTAAACCGAGGGCGGTTTAACTACCACGAGTGGCAGTTCTGCCTCAGGACTGGAGAGAGACACAGAGAGATGGCGTCAGAGGCCAACAGCCTCTGAGACAGACACAGGGACTGGGAGACCCAGCCAGAGGCCCGGTGAACAGTGGGGGTTGGGGAGGAGTGGGGTAAGGTTGGCCTCTGTCTGGCTAAGCCCCCCACGAAATAACCCAGGCCGCCCCCCTAGGTGGAAACAATGACACAATCAGCTCCCAATACCAAGGCCCTGACATCACGAAAGGGGGGTGGCCAAGGTGGGGGGGGCGCCCCGCCCCTTGGCAGGCCCCTGTGGCCAATGGGAGGGCCTTGGAAGAGGCCCGGGCCGCCTCCGTAGCTTCAAAAACGTGTGAGGAGGGAAGAGGGTGCAGACAGAGCCTCAGCTGCTGCAGCGTCCTCAGAGCCACTGCTGCCGCCACCACCACCACCACCGGCCAGCATGTCCTCTGCCCATTTCAACCGAGGCCCCGCCTACGGTCTGTCAGCCGAGGTCAAGAACAAGGTAGGGCTAAAGGGCCGCCCCTGGTCTGGCCTACACACCCTGCCAGGCCAGAGGGCCCGCTCTTGGGGTTCCCTGGACGCCCTCCTGCCTGTCCCATGTGACTTGGAACCTGAGAGGGAAGAGGGACAAGTATACCATAGAGGTTGCCTTCCTCCCCCTCTTGAGCATCCCAGAGCCCACAGCTGCTGCTGGGGGGAGGGGGGAGGGGGGGGCACGCAGGGAACCGCAGGCAAACAGAGCGGCCATTCCACTGTGAAGACCCCACTTCATCAGAGTCCCCCGTGAACCCTTTGTTTTCCTGGGGGGCTGGGGGACACTTGTTGATCGTCCCCACTCCCCCAGGCTGACGAAGAAGTTGGGGAGCACTTGAGAGCTGGGGTTCCTGGGAGGTGAAGCCTAGAAAGTGAAGGGAGAGGAGGCAGCTGAGAAGGGCAGAGTGGGCATTAGGCACAAGGTAGGGGTCTCCTAATTTCGGCATTAGGAAGGCATTGAGACATGACCTTCATGCTATGGATGGGTAAACTGAGGTTCCAAGTGGAGAGGCAAGTAGCTAGGGTCCTACAGAAGGGAGGTGCAGAGCTATGCCCTTGGCCTCGCCCCCCTTCTACACCAGGATGGGGTCAGCTTCTCCAAGGGAGCGAACTTGAAGTCTCCAGCCCACTGGAATGCCCCCATGAGGCCTGCCAGGGGAGGAGTCCCAGCCCCATTCCACAGAGGGGAACATTGAGGCGCAGGATGGCTTTTGCCAGGGAGCAGAGCGAGGAAGTGTGGAGCTAGTATTGGAATCTCGGTTGGGGATCCTCGTGGCTGGAGAAGGGAGCAGGTGGGGGGGCGGGTGCTCATGGGGGAGACACATCCCAGTGCTCCCCGCCTCTGCCCCCCCTTCCAGCGCCGGCCCAGGAGCCCAGAGGAGCCGCCACGCCATATAAGGAGGCCTCAGGGAGCCCAGCCCCAGGGCCGTGCTATATAAGGGCCGGTTTGCTTTATAAAGCCAGGCTGGTGGGGAGGGGGGTGGCCGGGCCTGGGCCAGGTGAGGGGTCCACTCTCTTCCCCCGCCCCCGCCCCCAGGAGAAGGGGCAGTCAGGTCCCCCAGGGGCTGGGAGCCTGTCTGGGCTGGAGGCCGAGGATTCTAGAGAAACGGAGATTCTGGGAGCCTGAGACAGGAGAGAGACAGATGGGGGAGGGCGAGCCAGGGGTGAGATAAGACTGAGACTGGGATGGAGGGGTAGAGCGGGGAGACAGACGAGCCCCACCCCCACCAGAGGCAGGGAACCTGAAGTCCGAAATGGAGAGTGATCCACAGATGGATGGTGGGCCCCACCCCCAGCCAGACTAGGAGAGATGGGGACAGGCTACAGGGCCAAGTAAAGACAGACACAGCTGGGGAGAGACGCAGGACCCCGGGAGTGGGAGAGAGACAGAGAAACAGACACGGTGCGCGCTCCGAGCCAGAAGCAAGACTGAGACAAGGCCCGACCCTCTGCCAGAGCTGGAGCCCCAGATGACGACCTGGAGACAGACAGAGATGCAAGACAGAGCCGTCCCCTGCAAGGCAGCATTCAGGGCACCTCCTCAGGGCTCCTCCCCCTTCGCCAGAGGCTCCCAGTCTTCCAGGAAGGGGGGGGGCTAGGAGGGAGGGGGTGACGGAGAGGAGGCAGGGCCAGGGAAAGCAAAGCCCCAAGTTTGGCCTGGAGGGGAAACCGGGAGGCCAGGCACCACCCCCAACTCAGAGTATCCCCCTCTCCACCCACCCGTTTGAATTCTTGGTGCCAAACCTCAGAATGCCCGGAATGGCCCCCTGGGCAGGTGCCACCTCAGCCCTGGCCCTCCGCCCCCTAAGGCACCCCCCACCCCCACCCATGGACACTGGCAGAATTGCCTTAGTTGGGAAGGGATGGGGAAGGAGATCAGGCTTAGGGAGCCAAGCCTGCCCCCCAAATCCTCACCATCATCTCCGTGCCCCCCACCCCCAGCTGGCCCAGAAGTACGACCTCCAGCGGGAACAGGAGCTTCGAGAGTGGATTGAGGGGGTGACAGGACGCCGCATAGGCCCCAACTTCATGGACGGCCTCAAAGATGGCATCATTCTTTGCGAGTAAGTGGGGCACTGTTGGCCCAGACTCTGCCTCGGGCTTACCCCGAACCGGTATTCATTTCTCCGCCTCAACCCCTTCACCGACCATGAGCTGGGTTGAGCACTTCCTATCTCAGACCTTGAAACAGCCCTCCTCTTAGATGGCAAATAGTCATTGTGCCCATTGAACAGGAAAGAAAACTGAGGCTGAGTCAGGTAAAACCTGACCCACAGTCCCATGCACCTCCAACGGAAATGACTCCAGATTCTAGCATCTTAACCACCACGCGCACAGGCCCATCTATGGCCTCCAGCGTCCCAAGAAAGAGAGGTCACAGCTAAAAGACAACAGGCAACATCGCTGTCTTGGTGACAGAGGGATGTGCCACGGTAATTTAAGTAGGCTCTGATTTTCTACCCTTCTCAGAACTCAAATCACTGAGAAAGATACAAACCTTAAAAAAAAAAAGATGCAAGCCCTCACAGCTCTCAAGCTGATTCCAGATGCAACAGCTCCAATGCTGGGCGGTGCTGTCTGTATCTCTGAGTCTGACCCAGGGCAGGTGACTGTGAGGACCAGCGTGTGCCCTTGGGAATGTTCCTGACCCAGCCCTAGTGCTGAAAAGGGGGCAGACAGGAGTCTCTCGCTCTACAATATCCACTGGGGACAAGGAGTAGGGAGACAGCCTGGTGTCCCAGCTCAGTCAGGGCTGCTGGGCCTTAACGAGTGCAGAGCCGCCCTGGCTGGTGTGGCTACATGGTTAGAGCATCAGCCCTTGGACCAAAGGGTTGTGGGTTCAATTCCAGGTCAAAGGCATGTAACTGGGTTGCAGGTTTGATTCCCCGGCCCCGGTTGGGAGGCATGCGGGAGGCAAACCATCGATGTGTCTCTGTCACATTGATGTTTCTCTCTCCTCTCCCCTCCTTCCCTCCCTTCCCTCTTTCTAAAAATCAATGGAGAAAATATCCTCAGGTGAGGACTAACAAACAAAGAAAGAGTGCAGAGCCACTCACCCACTCGGTCCCCGCTCACCGGCATTGATGGAGCCTCCGCTGTGTGTCAGGTCTAGGCCCTGGGACAGTGAACAAGGCAGCCTCGAGCGCACAGGGAGCTTTAGTCCTAGCGGGGAGATGGGTTCCACAATCCATGGGACAATCACATACTTGCTCATGGTGGGAAGTGACGTGGGAAGAGTCGTGGGGAGGATGGGGGCCGGGGCGGGTGAAGGCAGCTGCTTTGTGCAGAATGGTCTGGGAGATCTTTGAGAGGTAACATTGCGCAGAACCCTGGGTGAAGTGAGGGAGGAGACCAGGCGGGTGTCTGAGGGAAGAGTGGGCCAGGCAAGGGGGCAGCCAGTGCAAAGGCCCTGAGGGGAGTGGCTGGCACAGGAGGATTGGGGAAGCGGAGGGGGTCGGTCGGGGGCCGGGTGACATGGGGCCTGGTAGTTATGCTAAGGAGTTAGGAAACCATGGGAGCATCTTGAGGTGGGGAGTAACTGGAATTGTTTTTAAAAGGCCATTCTAGCTGCCAGATGAAGGGTCTATAGGGGATGAGGTGGAAGCTGGGAGCCCACAGGGAGCCACTGGGGACTCCGTGCAGGGCAGTGGGAAGCTGTGGCCTTGGGAAGGCAGAACCAGAGCCTTGCTGAGGGGCTGGGTGTGGGGGGACAGAAAGCAGAGGAGAGTCAAGGACAAGTCTGAGGGTGTTGCCTGTGCCCTGGGAGGGTGGGTTTCCTGAACTGGGAAGGAGAAAGTTCTGTGGGCAGAGGCGGGTGTCAGGGGTCCGGGGTGGGTGCGTTGATTTGACACATCTGTGTATGGAGCTGGGTTGGAGAGTGAGAGGCCGGGGCTCCAGGGAGATGCTGGGGAGTGGCTGGCATGTCAGTGGCATTTGAAGTCAAGAGACTGGATGAGGTCAAGGGGTCAGTGTTGCAGAGAAGGTGAGGCCTGAGCTGCAGGCTGTCCTTGGTGTACAGGAGTGAAGGAGACCGCACGGAGACCACCAGGAGGTGGGGCGCACCAGGGGACCCCCACCTTCGACAAGGAGACTGACGGACAGTCTGCTCCTGTGCTTGGTTTCCCGTCACCCCCCCCCCCCAATATTTTTATTGATTTCAGAAAGGAAGAGGGGGAAGAGATAGAAACATCAATGATGAGATTCATTATCGGCTGCCTCCGCACGCCCCACACTGGGGCTTGAGCCCACAACCCGGGCATGTGCCCTGACCAGGAACCAAACCGTGACCTCCTGGTTCACAGGTCGATGCTCAACCACTGAACCACACCAGCCAGGCTGGTTTCCCACCTTGGTCCTGCCTGTGTTTTGGGGGTGTATTTTGGTGAGGGATCCAGGTGAGAATGACTGCAGTGGGAAACAGCAACATGGATGTCACCTACGGACTGTCATCCTGACCCCTTGTCCTGTTGGGTTGGGCATGGGTGGGGCAGCAGGAGTCACCCTGTCACTCCTCTCCCCTACTCCTTGTAGGTTCATCAATAAGCTCCAGCCAGGCTCCGTGAAGAAGGTCAATGAATCGACACAAAATTGGCACCAGGTGAGCCCAGACTCTTAACGCTTTCAACCCCTCGCCACAGCCCCTCAGTACCACCCTCTGCCTCACCCCTGCCTTGACTGCCCCCTGCCTCTCCAGCTGGAGAACATAGGCAACTTCATCAAAGCCATCACCAAGTACGGGGTGAGGCCCCACGACATCTTTGAGGCCAATGACCTGTTCGAGAACACCAACTACACCCAGGTGCAGTCCACCCTCCTGGCTCTGGCCAGTATGGTGAGTGTGGCTCCAAGGTGGGCATGGGCCGGAGGGGCTGTGGGCAGTCTGGGCTGGAATTCAGGTGGGGCCACTCACGTCCCTGAGCCCAGCATGGGTGGGAGGGTACCCGTGCAGCCCGAGGCCCCCTCCTCAGTCCCTGCCCCCCTCCCTCCCTTCCCCAGGCCAAGACTAAAGGGAACAAGGTGAATGTGGGTGTGAAGTATGCCGAGAAGCAGGAGCGGAAGTTTGAGCCGGAGAAGCTTCGAGAGGGGCGGAACATCATTGGGCTGCAGGTACTGCCCTTGCCCACCCGAGGCGCACTGCCCGGCTGGAGGTGGAGGCGGGACGGCATCCTGGTCCCTGTGGGCTTTGGGGACAGCGTATTTGGCCTTGATGCTCTAACTCTGCACCTGACCCACGCCCACCCGCAGCAGCTCTAGAAGGCAGGCTGTTACCGTCAGACCATTTATATGGAAACAGGCCTGGAGGAGCTGGCCCAGCCGTCAGGCTCTCCCAGGTGACGAGTGGCCACGCTGGGACTTGAAGCTGTCAGTCAGGCCTGGGTGCTCTGAGCCACTCACTGAGCTGTGACACTTTCTCTGGGCCTCGGCTTCCTGTCTGTAGCCCGAGTGGAAACAGTGCCTTGTTAGAGGCCCTGTGAGTGTCCACGGGCATCCGTGCTGAGGCTCTGTAACCTTGAAGTGCCTCTCCTTCTGGATCCTTAGATGGGCACCAACAAGTTTGCCAGCCAGCAGGGCATGACGGCCTATGGTACCCGGCGCCACCTCTATGACCCCAAGCTGGGCACGGACCAACCCCTGGACCAGGCCACCATCAGCCTGCAGATGGGCACCAACAAGGGAGCCAGCCAGGTGTGTGGGGGGCCATGGGGTGGGCTGGTGGGGCTCTTGCCCTTCGCCATGCCCACGGGCTGACTGCGCTGACTGCGCTGCCTCCGCAGGCCGGCATGACGGCTCCCGGGACCAAGCGGCAGATCTTCGAGCCGGGGCTGGGCATGGAGCACTGCGACAGTCTCAACGTCAGCCTGCAGATGGGCAGCAATAAGGGGGCCTCGCAGCGGGGCATGACAGTGTATGGGCTGCCGCGCCAGGTTTACGACCCCAAGTACTGCCTGACGACCGATTACCCCGAACTGGGCGAGCCTGCCCACAACCACCACCCACACAACTACTACAATTCTGCCTAGGGCCCTGGGTCTCCCGCCTTCCCCCCCCAGGGAAGCTGGCTGCTGCTCGGCAGGGCCTAGCCCGGCCCCGCTAACCCCTGCCCCCTGCATGGCGCCCTCCAGCCCCTGGCACCTGCCTACAGGGTTAGCATTGGGGGGAAGAGCAGACTGGGGGGCCTGTGGGGGGGGAGGGGGCTCTCCTCCCCGGAGCACTGCAGGGTCCAACATCGAGCCAGGTGTTCCCAACAGCATCCAAAGGACGCACTGAGCAAAGCTACTCCAGCTGCCCCTGACTCCCTCACAGGTGGGTTCCCCCCAGGACAAGAAGCCCCCCCCCCCCAAGCAAAGCCCCCAGAGCCCAGGCTCAGCCTGCCTCCACCCCATTCCCACAATGGGAGCCAACTGCATGCCCAGAGACCCAGCGGACACACGCGGTTTGGTTTGCAGCGATTGGCGTATGTGGATGTGACAGCGGTGTTTGTAATGCGAGCACTTTCTTTTTCTATTTCACTGGAGCACAATAAATGGCTATAAAATCATCTGAAGACTCAGGTTGCTCTGTCCTGGAGCCTGTATGGCTCCTGCATATGCACAAACAGCCTTGCTCAGATACCCTGCATTGACCAAACACACTTCTGCACAGGCACACATACTCTCACACACTCTATACACACAGGCTCACAGCCACTCGGCTGGACCCGGACACGGACATGTACTCACACACACACACCTCTTGGTGGGTATGGTGTGCACACACTTGCTGCAGCCTTAGAGGCACCTACAGATACTCACACATGCAGTACACACTCCCATATAAAAAGACACGTCACAACACACCCTCTCACATATGCACACAATACCCACACACACATGCTCAGTATCCATGTACTTTGCCAGGGGGCCTGTGAGTTGTGAGGAAAAACCCAAGTGCTGGGATGGGCTAGACGGAACAGGTGACCTTGGGCAAGTCACTTCCCCTCCTCAGGTCTGTTTTTCCATCAGGAAAATGGGGACAGCAAGGCTCATGGGGAAGCTTAAATGACTACTATACCAAATAGGATGTTTGGCACCAACCAATGGACAAGCTGGGTCCTGGAGGCCCCTGTGGGCAGGGGGACCCCATTACTCCTAGATTGCAATGTGTGGAGGGTGAGAGGGGACAGGGCAGTGGGCGAGGATGGGCATTTTGTGGGCCCAGGGCAATGGCCTTTTACTGACTGTCAGAGCAGTTGAGTAGCTGACTGAGGGCATGGCTGTCTTCTGCGCCAGGCTCACTCTGCCCTCTTCTTACGGCTGATCCCCCAGTCTCGCCTGCCATTCCAGGACCCTAAAAGTCTGTGGCCAGGCCCCAACCTCCCTGTTTCAGAGGGGACCCTGTTCTGTGATGTCGGCCCCAGTCATCCCTCTTGCAAGCCACCAACTGTCAGGGTTCCAAGGAGAGGACGCAGCCATGCAGGGGTCACAGCGCAGCCTTCTCGCCTCCCCTCCCCAGGGCAGGGGATGAGGCTGGAACGTGGGGGATCTGCAGACAGACATCAGAAGACCTACATGCAGATGATTTAGCCCTTGGGGCCTTGTAAACTGGATTCCAGGCACTCTTGGCCTGGCTACTGTGAGTCCTGCTCCCCGAGGGCCAGCTCTAGAAGCTACGCTGAGGATCCACGCCTGGCTCTGGGCCCTGCCTCCTGTGGAAAACAGCACCATATTAGCACTTGGTCTGTGAGACTGGGGTGGGCGGGCCCTGGATGCCAGAGGACTGAGCCCCCCTTCCCTGGACCCGAGGCAATCCCACCCAGGCCCGTCCACCACTTGGCCCATGACCACTGTCTCCTGTCTGGACCAAACCTTCCCTGGGGCCGTGGCGGGGAGGTGGGCGCACCAGGAAGGAGCATCTCAGGGCAGGGTAGACTTCCGGGGGCACATGCCAGACCCAGTAGCTGGGCCTGGGTGGTCAGGGCTTCCTGCCAGCTCGGCATTTGACTGTTCACATCCCTCAACATCCAGGGTGGATTCTAGTCGCTCAAACCAAACGAGGCACCTCCATCCAGTGTGGCCCCTGGAGGAAGGCTCCATCATCCTTCCCACTGCACCAATGAGGAATCCAAAGCAGAGGGCCCTGCTGCTCAGGCTCAGGAGGCAGAGCTGGACCTGCTGCAGGCTACTGAGAGTCAGAACCTTCACAACCGGGAGGCCATCCGAGGGCACTGTGCAGTGCCCAGGTGCTCACCATCAGCCGTGCCAAGATGTGTGCTTTCCCAACACCACCAAGCAAGGAACTCCGTTCCGACACTACCTGGAGATAGGATCAGATCCCATAGAATAAGGGCTCGGTCCTACAAGCTGGTCCTCCCCCACTTCAGCTGCCAATTGCAAGCCCAGGTGCTTGTGACCAACTGGCTATAGATTGTTCAGTCCTCAGAGAAACAGGTTGCTTACAGGTTTATTATAAAAGGGCATAAGCCAGGAACAGCCTGATGGAAGAGCTGCACAGGGCAAGGCTGGGGAAGGAGAGCGGAGCTGCCATGCGCTCCATGCCCAGCACCTCCCCAGTTCACCAACCTGGAAGCTCATCAAACCTTTTTATTTAAATTTTTAAATTGAATTTATTGGTTGATAAAATTACATAGGTTTCCCCATAGCCAGTTTGGCTCAGTGGATAGAGCGTTGGCCTGTGGACCAAAGGGTCCCAGGTTCAATTCCGGTCAAGGGCACATTCCAAAGTGCAGGAAGAAGCCAATGATTCCCTCCCATCATCGATGTTTCTCTCTCTCTCTTCCTCTCTGAAATCAATAAAAAAATATATATATTTTTAAATATATATATTTTTTAAATATTTTATTGATTTTTTTATAGAGAAGGGAAAGGGATAGAGAGTTAGAAACATCGATGAGAGAGAGAAACACCGATCAGCTGCCTCCTGCACACCCCCCCTACTGGGGATGTGCCCGCAACCAAGGTACATGCCCTTGACCGGAATCGAACCCGGGACCCCTCAGTCCAGGCCGACGCTCTATCCACTGAGCCAAACCGGTTCGGCAATAAAAAATATATTTAAAAAAATTAAAGAGATCAACTGAAGGACTGATATGCATGCATATAAGCATAACCAATGGACATAAGACACTGGGGGGTAGGGGAGGCCAGGGGATTGTCAAGGGCGGGGGAAAAAAGGAGACATATGCAATACCCTTTGTAATACTTTAAGCAATAAAAAATAAAAATAAAAAATTATATAGGTTTCAACTGTTCACCAAATCTTATTGAAGATTTAGAGAGCTTAACCTGTAGTCTCTCCCTGACCTTCCCAGAGGTGGCTGGGAGTTCCCCTCAGTAATCACCTGATCTTTCTGGTGACCAGCCCCATCTTGGGTGATCGCACTGGAAATTCCAAGAGTTTTAGTAGCTCTGAGGCATGAACAGGGACAAAGATCAATACATATTGGACCACACCCGTGCATCTGGCTAGTACCTCCAGCCTTCGAGACTCCTCACCAGCCTGGGACAAGGCTCCCTTTAGGACCCTTACTCTTCTCCAGAGCTCCCCAGCCCCACAAAACCACGAGCTGTCCTCTCAGCCTGCACCCTGGGTGGTGAAGCCAGATGTCCTGCGTTTAAGGACCAGCTGTGCTGCTTTCTGGCTGTGGGACCTTGGGCCAGTGACCTCCCATCTCTGGCCTGTTTCCTCACCTGCAAGCCTGGGGCACCTGCCTCACAGGGTGGCTGTCGGGACAAGGGGGTGAGGCAGGCAAGCCTGAGAGAAGCCACTGCAGAGGGTGGCTCTTGAGTTACCTCCGTCAGCCACGAAGCCTTCCCTGACCCCCTGCTCCACGCACCCCAGCTCTGTTGCCTTATTTCTCACTGAACTAAATTCTTGCCCACGTCTGTGGGGTCATCGGAGTTCCTTGCGCCCAGCACTGCCATGGCTTTACCCTGGATGCTTGTCTAGTGGACAAATGTTGGACAGTTGGAAGGACTGACCATACCACATTTCCAATGACGTGCCAGGCCTCCCTCTCCCCCCTCTCTGGGCCCGGGGGGCTGACCAGAACCCAAGAAATCAGACAGGAGTCTGCGTCGGCTGCTTTATTTAAGGACTGGTGACTAACAGTCCCCAACCCAGCCCCTCCCTTCTCTATAAAAGCAACTACACATGAACCGGGGCCCCCCTGCCAGGGCCCAGCCAGGGGGCCAGTGGTGCTGAATCTCAGGCCACAGTCCTTGGAAGGCAGAGGCGTGCGGTCCAGTTCACACGGGCAAGGTGCTGGGGAGGTGGGTGAGGAGGCGGAGAGTCCTGAGGCTGTCTCTGCTGGGCTTGCTCTCACCCAGGATGTCAGGACATTGGCCCCCGGAGAAGCCAGGGCTCCAGAGCCAGGGGGTCAGGGGCCAAAAGAGGGAGCAAGTCAAAGGGCTTTTGGAGCCAAGGGAGGCAGTTCAGACCTCTGGAGCCCCCTGCCCATGAGCACACCCCCATGGCCACACTTGCAGTCACACATTCACATCCACATTCACTCCATACACAGGCAGGGGGCTGCGAAGGCCCTGGACCCACACCCTGGACCTCAGGAATGTCTCTGGATTGGTACCCAGCGGGCTGGTCCTCGGCAGCGAGTCTGCAAAGGGGGTGGGTCCTCTCTTTTGCTACTGATTGGCGGCCTCACAGGCATCTATCCAATCACTATACACGTCCACTGGTTCTGACAGATCTAAGCCGTTGGAGTCAAGGGCAACTGCCAGCATCCGACACCTCCCCTTTCCCGTATACACCTCTGTTGCTCACGCTGATGTCAGCTAGACCCCTACCCTGTGCACTATCACCCGCTTAAGCAAGCAGGTAGCACCCATTCCTCTGGGTGGCCAAGGCCCTGCACAAGATACACAACAAGGCCCGAGATGCAAGGGCTTATTCTACCCTGCGCAGGGCAGCCCTGACCACCCCATCCCCACCCCCTGGATAAAGCCCATTTTCCCAAGGATACACGTGATGGGTGTCTGGAATTCCTCTAGGCACACGGTACAAGAGATGACTCCGGTGTTACGGGCACGGTCCCTGGAATGGGAGGAGATGGAGGGACTGATAAGCAAAGAGGCCTGTATCTAAGGGGGAGCCAATTCCCACCTGAGGGCAGGGGAGGCCCCGTGAGGCAGGATTCCTGGCCCCCACCCCACGCTCACATTTTCACGTCACAAGATTTCTCGTGGTTGCAGAAGGGGCAGGTGAACTGGGTCTCTAGAGTGCCTGTCATCTTCTTCTTGGGGGGTGGCTTTCGTTTTGACTTTCTGCGCCCCATGTCTGCAGGAGGGTGAACCTGTGGGGGGAGGAGGAAGATGTCAACGACTCACGGGACCCAGGAGGCCCTGCAGGGGCTGGCCACAGTGAAAGGGGGACTTGCACAATGGCTCTCTCTGAGGACATCAGACAGTTCCAGTGCACTCTGGGTAGAGGGGGTGAGAGCAGGTTCTAGATTCTAACCCTGCCCCAGCCCCACTTACTACATGACCTCACGTAGGTTACTTAATCTCCCTGTGCCTCAGTTTCCTTATATATAAGATAGAGATGAGGTTGCTACCTCAGAGGGACTCACAGACTGCACTGTATATGGCCCATCCATCGCTGGCACCTACACAGGAGGCCGCTGTTCCCGGTGAGGGTAACACGAGTGACTGACAGGCCAGGTGTCCAGGGCTGGGCAGAGCTGAAGTGCTCCGGAGCCCATGATTTTAGGGGCAGCTGCTCCTCTTATCAAAGGACATGCAAGGACCCCCCAGGAGGAATGACACTCAAGGGATTTGACAGAGCCTCCGACAGGCTCCCTGGGCAGAAGAGGGGCTACTGGACAGAGAAGTGTTTCAAGCGGAGAAACGCCATGTAGGAGGCTGAGGGGCAGGTATCTGAGTGCTGGGCTAGCGGCTGGGCACCAGGCAAGTGGGGGAGGGGCAGGCTGAGGAGGGAACAGACGGGAAAGTTTCAAGTGTTTAGCTGGATCCTGACCGCCAGGGAGAGAAACAACAGCCTCACCCTGGGCTTTTAAGGGACTGAGGAATACGGGTCAAAAGTCTGGACAAAGATGGAAGTCAGAACTGGGACAGGGCTGTTTGGGGAGGAGAGAGCAGCTGGCAAGACTGAGGAGACAAATCAGTGCAATGAGTGGGTATGCGAGGACGGAAGAGTCCAGAAGGACCTCCAAGGTTGTGATGGGCGGGGTTGTGTCGAACACAAAAGAACAGTGTTGTTAAAAATGAGTCAGGTGCCACTGGGACATACGTCTTGGAGGCAGAGACCACTGAACGAATCTCCACGCCAGGCGCTGGGCTCAGGGCTCCGCATTCACCATTCCTGAGCCTTCCAAGGAGCTCCCCCTCCCTCCCAATCACACTCTTTCTCTCTCTCTCCACTGCTGGTTCTAGGATCATTCCTCCGTGACAGGGGAGGTCGGCAATCTGCCAGAAGAAAGACCAGAGTCTCATTCATATTTAGCAATCACTTTCTATGTAACATCCTCTCCATTTTTAAAAATATATATTTTATTGATTTTTTACAGAGAGGGACAGAGAGTTAGAAACATCGATGAGAGAGAAACATCGATCAGCTGCCTCCTGCACACCCCCTACTGGGGATGTGCCCACAACCAAGGTACATGCCCTTGACCAGAATCGAACCTGGGACCCTTCAGTCAGCAGGCCCATGCTCTATCCACTGAGCCAAAATGGTTAAGGCACATCCTCATTCATTTAAAAAAAATGATTAAAGCCTGGCCAGCGAGGCTCAGTGGTTGGGTGTCAACCTATGCATCAGGAGGTCACTGTTCGATTCCTGGTCAGGGCACATGCCCAGGGTGCAGGAGGCAGACAATCAATGATTCTCTCTCATCACTGATGTCTCTATCTCTCCCTCTCCCTTCCTCTTTATTGATATTTTATATCAATAAAAATATATTTAAAAAATTTTTTTTTAACTTTTCATTACAGTTTACATTCAACATTTTGTATTAGTTTCAGGTGTACAATATAGTGGTTAGACAATCATATACTCTACAAAGTCTTCCCGATATTCCAGTGCCCACCTAGCACCATACAGTATTACTGACTGTATTTCCTAGGCTGTACTTTACATTCCCATGAGTATTTTGTAACTCCCAATTTATATTTCTCAATTCCTTCACCTTTTTCACCGAGCCCCAATCCCCCTCCCCTCTGGCAACCATCAGTCTGTGTCTGCATTTATGAGTCTGTTTCTGTTTTGTTTGCTTGTTTATCTTGTTCTTTATATTCCACATATTAAGTAAAATCATATGGTATTTGTCTTTCTCTGACTTATTTCACTTGGTATAATACCCTCTAGGTCAGTGGTTCTCAACCTTCCTAATGCCGTGACCCTTTAATACAGTTCCTCACGTTGTGGTGACCCCCAACCATAAAATTATTTTTGTTGCTACTTCATAACTGTAATTTTGCTACTGTTATGAATCGTAATGTAAATATCTGACATGCAAAATGTATTTTCATTGTTACAAATTGAACATAATTAAAGCATAGTGATTAATCACAAAAACAATATGTAATATATGTGTTTTCCGATGGTCTTAGGCGACCCCTGTGAAAGGGTTGTTCAACTCCCAAAGGGGTCGCGACCCACAGGTTGAGAACTGCTGCTCTAGGTCCATCCACGCTGTGGCAACATCCTCAATCTTAACTGAGGATGCGTCCAAGTCACTGAGTAAACAAAAACAGCTGGCAGAGAACACCAGCAAGTCCCCAGGACCACCCATGCGGCTTCCCTCCTTTGCCTTGGACGAATGTCCACAAAAAAACAATTTGTGTCTCTACTAGATCATTAACAAACACACTCCCATCATTAAAAAACAAACAAACCACCACAAAACAAAACACCTCCTTCTCTGCGGGCGGGCGTTTCTAGTAGAGCTGTCTGTTTCCCTCCCATTCTCTCTCTCCCACCTGCCTCACGCTGGGGCAGTCCCCACCCCTCAGGGCACTGGACAAACTGGTTTTCTCTTCCTGCCCTTTCATGGGACCCTCAGACCTGCACTCTTACACCCCTGATTCCCTGGCAGTTCCTTTCACTCTCAGCGGCTGCTGACCTCCCTCACCCCCAATTCTCTAATGAGGAGCCCACCAGCTCCATCTTTGGGCCCCTGCCTCTGCCGACACTTACCTCCATGGAGATCTCACCCAGCCTCAAGGCTTCAGATGCCCCTTCTACACAGATGCCACCTGCCTCTCTGGCCTTGCTGTGTCCTTTGACCCACAGACTCGCCCCTCTACCTGTCTTGGTCACACCTCCATCTGATGCTAATAAACATTTAAAAGCAACCTGTCGAAAACTGAGCTCCCGACACCTTAACCTGCTCTCTCCCGGTCTTCCCCATCTCCGCAGACAGCAAACCCATCTTTCCAAAAACCCCGGGCTCATCCTCGATCCCTCTCTCTCTCTTACACCCAGCTCTTATCTGATCCTGTTGCTGCTGCTCCTCTAAAACACATTCAGAACCTGACCACCTCTCACCACCTCCAGGGCCACCGTCCTGGTCTGAGTCCAGAGTCGCGGTCACCTCTGGCCTGGATGATCACAACAGCCTCCTCACTGGTCTCCCTGCATCTCCACATGCAAATCCCAGGAGGGCAGGGACTTTTGGCTTTTCTTCGTATCCTCAGAGCTGAGAACTGTTCACGGCACAGAGCTGGCGCTCAACAGATACTTACTGAGCCAATGAGTGAACAAACGAATGCCAGGCCCGACACCACACCACACAACGCTGCAATCAAGGCAGGCAAGGTTTCTGCTCTTGTGAAACTTCTATGGTCGTGGACGAAGACAGACCCTGAACAAGTTAACTAATGAGGGAAATGACTCCAAATATTGTTAAGCCCTGCAAGGCTAACCCCAGGGCAGGTGAAACACTCCCGGAACGGGGGCTGCTTCAGATGAGGGCAGAGTGGGAAGCACCCGCTGGTAGGTCACTTCCGATGAGACCTGAATGACCAGAAGTCACCACACAAGGCAGTCTAGGCAGAGGGAGTAGCAACTGCAAAGGCTGCGAGGCAGACGCTTAGAGAGAGAGAGAGAGAGAGAGAGAGAGAGAGAGAGAGAGAGAGAGAGGCTGGTACAGCTGAAGCTCGGCGGACAACGGGGAGATGCGGGGAGATGGGTATGAGATGCGACAGAAGCGGAAGAGCAGCAGCCAGACCCCACGAGGCCCTGCAGACTTCAGGAAGGTGCGGTCGGTTCTGCAGCCCATGCTCTCACCTACCAGGGCAGTTTCCCCCAAAGTCCAGCCCTGGGTACCACCTGCAACAGAACCACCCGGGCGCCCTCAGAAAAGGCTGATTTCTGGGCCTCGCCCAGATCCACCCGCGCTAGGATGTCAGTTCTGGGGGGGCCGGGCCGTGATCCGCCCGCTGCTGAAGCCCAGCAGGCGCAGTGACCGGTGCGCATTAAGCGCTCAGTAACTACGTGCTGAATGAATAAATGAGTCTCCCAAATCAGAAGCTACACATGCCCCGCCCCCCCCGCCCCCCGCCCCCCGCATCTCATTTTACCCGGTGACTACAGTAACCCACCCACCCCACCACAGAACTGGGGGCTGAACTGCCAGAGCCCCAGGGGTCTCGGCCGGTCCTTCGGTGACGACGACCAAACGCGCCGACGGAGGGATGGGGTGGGGGGTGGGGAGTCGGCCTCCGATCCCGCCGAGACTCTAGAGGCGGAGGGTGGGCGGTCCCTCCAGGCTTACCCAGGCTTCGGCGGCGCCTCCGAGCAGCGCGCTCAGCCGGCTGGGACCCGGGGGACTCAAGCTCCCTGACGGGCCACGCTCCCACCCCCGGGCCCTCGGCGCCTCCTCCGGTACCCCGTGAGCGGCCCCGAGTCGAAGAGCACCCTGCCCGCCCGGCTCCAACGCCCTCCCGCGAGAACCGTCACCTGCACGAGCCTTCCCTCCTTGCGACAGCCTCGTTCACCCGGGAGACAGTGACTTCCGTCTCTCAGCGGAAGCGGAACCTCTTATCCCCTCACGTCCCGCCCACCCGCAGCGGGATAGCCCAATAAGCAGGACCCGCCTCCTCCTCCAACATCTCTGTGCGCATGCGTACTCTCATGGGGAGGGGAGGAGAGGGGAGGGGAGCTCACGGGAGTTCCGCAGTGCGCCTGCGCGTGGGTTCGAGCGCGAGCGAGTACTACTTCTCTGCATTTCCCGCGTTTCGGGGGCGTTGGGGCCGGCTGGCCCTGAGCTGGAAAGGTCTCCTGTCCTCGGTCGCAGTATCTTCCTGGGGGTGTCTCGCTTGCCTTTCCCGATTCAAGCCCCAGCCCCTCGCAGCCCACCCAGCTCTCCCCACGTGGGACACATTAAACTATCCTGGTGCTGGGGACTCTTTCCCCCTCCCCACGTGGGAGTCTATGCTTTTCTTCAATCAATTTCCACCTTTGCTATAAAAAATAAAACAAAATAAAATATCCCGGAGCTAAGGAATTGCAAATACTGGCATGGCTGGATCAGGGGGAGGGGGGAGCTTGTAAGACGCTGTTCTCCAACTTTAACAAGAACCTTTGGATCTTGCTACAGTTCTGCGTTTGATGTTTAATCATCGGTGACCTTGATAAGGACTGTTTCATTGGAGTGTTCAGGAAAATAACTTGCAATATGTATGTCAAATGGACCTATCTCCAAGGTTTCCACGAGGGGGCAGTGTTACTCCTGGAAGTGCCTTTCTGGAAGCCCCCTTCTCAGTGCAGGTTACAAACCTGAACACACACAGGTGGGGTCGTACAATGACCCGCTGCCTTGCAACTTGCTATTTCCACTGAATGGTCAGTACACATACAAATAGCGCTTGTTTTCAGTAGCTACATAATTCGTGGTGCCACTCTGCCATGGCATATGGACAATGCTCTATTTGCGGAAGGGTAGTTTTTCCCTGCCCCCTTCCCTGCCTTCACAGCTTTATTGAGATACTAGAGGCCCTGTGCACGAATTCGTGCACAGGTGGGGTCAGGTGGATGGGGCTGGGGGTGGGAGGGCATGGGAGGTTGGCCTGCCAGTCCCTATGGGGTGGGTGGGGGGCTGATCTGGAGCAGGGCTGGCTGGGGGGAGAGGCTGCAGGCAGTTGTCCCCCATGGAGGGGACAATTTGCATATTAGCCTTTTATTATATAGGATAATCGACAGACCATAAGCTGCATGTATTTAAACTGACATTTTATGTCTTGACATATGCATATACACGTGAAACTATACAATCAAGATAGTGAGCCCTAACTGGTTTGGCTCAGTGGGTAGAGTGTTGGCCTGCAGACTAAAAGGTCCCAGGTTCAATTCTGGTCAAGGGCATGTACCTTGGTTTCGGGCACATCCCCAGTAGGAGGTGTGCAGGAGGCGGCTGATCGATGTTTCTCTCTCATCGATGTTTCTGACTCTCTGTCCCTCTCTCTTCCTCTCTGTAAAAAATCAATAAAACATATATTTTTAAAAAAAGATAGTGAACGTTTCTATCACCCCAAGAAGTTTCCTCCTGTTTCCTTGTATTCAGTTCCTTCCCTGCCCCTAGCCCAGGGGTGGGCAAACTTT